CCATCTCTCCAGCCCCCTAAATAGTTTATTTGTTATTTTTATTTTATGTGTGTGAGTGTATTGCCTTCATGTAGGTAAGTGCACCCGTGTCATGCAATGCCCACAGAGGACAGAAGAAGCCATCGGATCCCCTGGAACTGGAATTACGGATGGTTGTTAGCTGCCATTTGGGTGCTGGGATTTGAACCCAGGTCTTCTGCAAGAACAGCCAGTGTTCTTAACTGCTGAACCATCTTTCTAGCTCCCTATTACATCTTTATTTGTGTTTGTACATGTGTGTGTGTGTTTGTGTACTGCATGGAGGATTCCAACTGCAGCAAGTGCTTTTATCCACTGAACCATCTCTCTAGGTCTTTCTTTTCTTATTCTTTCATTCTTTTTTTCCTGAGGTTGAACTTAGGGCCTTGTGACTATTAGGCTCTACTATTGAGATATATCCTCAGGCTCAGGGTTTCTTTTCTTTCTTTTTCTTTTTGAGACTGTCTCCCTGAAGCCCCACCTGACCTGGAATTTACTATGTAGACCAGGCTAGTCTACCTCTGCACCCCCCACCGTCCAGTGCTGGGATTAAAGGCATGTACCACGAGACCTGGCCCCAGGGTTTCTTTTTGAGATGATAAAAATAAATTTTTATTTTTTAATTTTTAATTTTTTTTTGGTCTTTTTTTGACACAAGGTCTCCCTATAGCCCCAGCTGTCCTGGAACTCGCTATGAAGACCAGGCAGGCCTTGAACTCACAGAGATCCGCCTGCCTCTGCCTCCTGAGTGCTGGGATTAAAGGTGTGCGCCACCCAAGCCCGTCAATAAAAATAATTTAAAAATTAGATTGTAGCCAGGCTTGGTGCTACTTGGGAGGCAGAGACAGGTGAATCTCTGTGAATTCCAGGCCAGCCTGGGCTACAAGGAGACCCTGACTCAACAAGAACTCCTCCCCACCCCCCAAAAAAAAATTGTGGTGGGCTGGGGATATAGCTGTGTGATAGAGAACTTACCCAGCACGTGTAAAGTTCTGTGTTTGATTGATAGCATTGCTACAGAAAAAGAAAGGCTTGTGTGGTTTTGAAGTTTTATGCCTTCTCCCCCTACCTTTTTGGTCAATCTTTGACATGTATCTCAGGCTCACAGATGGCAAGTAACCAGTCTGCCATTGAGCCCAGTTGTGCACACTAATTGGGTAAATTACACCAAAATGAAGATTTCGCCTTTATATTCTATAGTAGTTCTGAAGCAATTGCTTGGTCCTCCTTTTTTAATCACTTGGATATATTGCAAAAGTGCCCTCTTACCTGTATGTAGTTTTTCTTTTCTATGGTTTCATTTAACTCTGGTCAGTCAAAAATTTAAAACGTTAAATAGAAAATTTAAGAAATCTCTTTTTTTTTTTTTGGTCTTTTTGAGACAGGCTCTCCCTGTAGCCCCAGCTGGTCTGGAACTCACTCTGTAGACCAGGCTGGCCTGGAACTCACAGAGATCCCCCTGTTTCTGCCTCCCAAGTGCTGGGACTACAGGTGTGCCTATATTAAACACTGGCCTGGTATTTAATTCTTAATTTTCACATATAAAAGTGTGTTTTAGTCAAACGGGCATTGTGGCGCATGCCTTTAATACCTACACTCTGGAGGCAGAGGCAGGCAAATCTCTGCAAGTTCCAGGCCAGTCTGGTCTACACAGTGAGTTCCAGGCCAGCTGGGCCTACAGGGAGACCCGTTCTCAAAAAAAAAAAAAAAAAAAGAATTGTCTCTTTTCTGTATGGTAACATTTAGGGGTTTTGTTTTGTTTTGTTTTTGGTCTTTTGCGACGGGGTCTCCTTGTAGCTCCAACTGGCCTGGAACTCACTATGTAGACCAGGCTGGCCTTGAACTCACAGAGATCCACCTGCCTCTGCCTCCCAGGTGCTGGGATTAAAGGTGTGTGCCACCAAGCCTGGCTCTATGGTAACATTTTGTATTTCTGTGTACATAGTATTCAGATATTTATTTAGTTCTTGAATACTCCCTAAAACTAGTGAGTATTTTGAAGTTAATGTGCTACTATTTATTTTTTATATATCATTATTTAAGGAGACTTTAATTCCTATTTTTAGTATATTACAGCTTTTTTTTTTCCCCTTAATTTTATGTGTATGAGTGTATTGCCTGCATGTATGTGAGTGCACCCATGCCGGGCAATGCCTTGGAGCTCAGAAAAGGCTTCAGATTCCCCTGGAACTGGAGTTAAGGACAGTTTGTAGCCACCATGTGGATGCTGGGAATCGAACCTGGGTCCTCTGCAAGAGCAGTCAGTGCTCTTAACTGCTGAGCCATCTCTCCAGCCCCAGCGTTTTTTAAAAAAATCTTTTTGAGACAGGGTTTCCCTGTAGCCCCAGCTGGTCTGGGGCTATGTAGACCACACTGGCCTGGAAGTCACAGAGATCCTCCTGCCTCTGCCTCCTGAGTGCTAGGATTAAAGGCATGCACCACCACACCAGCAGCATTGTTATTTTTAAAAGATACTTTAGTTTTATTTTTTGTGTATGAGTGTATTGCCTACATGTATGTAAGTGCACCCACATTGTGCAATGTCTGTGGAGGTCTGAAGAAGGCATTGGATTCTTTTGGAACTGGAGTTATGAGTGGTGATTAACTCCCATGTGGATGATGGCAGTAGAACCCGGTTCTTCTGTGCTCTTAACTGCTGAGCCATCTCTCCAGCCCCTATTTTTGTGTTGTTGTTGCTGTTGTTGTTGGGGGGTGGGGCGGTAGTCGCAGTCTCCCTGTAGACCCAACTGGCCTGGAATTCACTGTGTAGATCAGGCTGACTGCAATCCCACAGAGATCCCCCTGCTTCTGCCTCCACAGTGCTGATATTAAAGGTCTGTGCCACCTCACCTGGCTAGTATATTATTGTCTTACATTACTAGCATACTATAAACTGTCCTCTATTTTGTCATCAGAGACATGTGACTTAAGGACATTGTTAAATATCATTGTAATGTTCCCTTAAAAAAGTTATTATTGTGTGCATGTCTCTGTGCAGGGTATGTTTTATGTTTGTGTGTATTATAATGTTTATGTGGAGGTTAGAGGACAACTTAGTGGAGTGAACTCTCTCCTTCCACCTTTCAGTGGGTTCCAGAGGTCCAAACTCAGGCTGTCAGCCCTCATGGCAAGTGCTTTTACCTGTTGAACCATTTTGAGGGTCTTCTTTTTGGTTTTTGAGAGGGGGTCTCTTGTAGCCCAGGCTGGTCTAGAACTCTATGCAGCTTAAAATGACCTTGAATTTAGGCTTCTCCTGCCTTTACCTCTTAATTGCTAGGGTTACTGGCATGTGCCACCACACCTTGCTATATGCTATTAATTTTTTTATTTGTTTTTAGGATTTGCTGATTTTTATGTGTTGGAGTGTTTTGCTTGCATGTATGTATGTGTACCACTGTATGCAATACCTATGGAACCTAGAAGATAGCATCAGATCCTTGGAACTGGATTTACAGTTGGTTATGAGCCACTGTGTGGGTGCTGGGAACTGAACCCAGGTCCTCTCTGCAAGAGCAGTAAGCGCTCTTAACTGCTAAGCCGTTCTCCAGCCCCGTGTTCTGTTAGTTTTGTACTTCATCCCTCCCAATGTGGGTGGTTTTTTTTTTTTTTTTTTTTTCCAGTCTTTTTGAAACAGGGTCTCCCTGTAGCCCCAGCTGTCCTGGAACTCACTCTGTAGACCAGGCTGGCCTTGAACTCACAGAGATCTGCCTGCCTCTGTCTCCCAAGTGCTGGGATTAAAGGTGTTCATCACCAAGCCTGAGTTTAGAATAATTTTTATTTTATATGTATGAGTGAATTGCCTGCATGTATGTAAGTGCAGTGCCCTCAGTGGTCAGAAGATGTCAGATCCCCTGGAACTGGAGTTACAGGTGGTTGTTAGCCTCCATGTGGGTGCTAGAAACCAAACTTGGGTCCTCTGCAAGAGCAGCCATTGCTTTTAACCACTGAGCCATCTCTCCAGCCCCTGAGAGAATTCTTGGATGATAAGTTTGCCATAATACTAAGTTGTATATTTAAGTGTGAAACATTTTAGATACTGAAGATGATATAGCAAGTGGGTTGAGTTAGAACCTATTAGGAAAGTCCGGATAAGGCAGAAAATAGAGCTGTGTAGTCAATAGTGTGATGCAGGAAAAACTAAAGAATGTTGAGGATATAGGCTAGGAAGGAAATAATTGATATGGAAGATAAAACCTGAAGGACTTGTATGAGTTGGGTGGCACATGCCTTTAATCCCAGCACTCGGAGGCAGAGGCAGGTGGTTCTCTGTGAGTTGGAGGCCATCCTGGTTTACAAAGTGAGTTCTAGGTCAACAGGGGCTACAGGGAGATCTTGTCTCAAAAAAAAAAAAAAAAAAAAAACCCCACAATGGAACTCACTATGTAGACTGGGCTGACGGAAGGAAAGAAAAGAGTTGTTCTTCAAATATTTGTTGTATTATCTAAAATATTTCAGAGTAACTAGTATAGAAAAATCAGGATCATTATAGCACATATGTTTCTTATTTTCCTTTAAGTCTGTTCTCTACCCTCCTCACGCTAGGATTGTTTCCACTTAACTATTGCTGTTTTGATTGTACGAACTACTTTAATGGATTTTAACCTGTTTTAATTCTAATCATCTAACCTAGGAAAATTGCAGGCAACCAATAATTAATTGTTGGACATGTTTGAATGCAGAACATAAATTACAAGATTTAAAATTAAAAGCTGGGTGTGGTGGTTGCACACCTTAATCACACTCTGAGATTAAGGCCGGCCTGGTCTCTATAGTGAGTTCCAGGCCAGCTCAGGTTATAAGGAGACCCTGTCTTGAAGAAACAAACAAACAAACAAAAAAATTAAATAATACATGTCTCTTCACCTTGATAAAATTGTAATAGAAGTATTTCATTAATCTGAGGATATTTTCTTAAAGTTGTTTTTAAACTTGATATGTTTTATTTCTGTAACTTAAAAACTCAAGTGTGCTTTATGTTCTAGGTCCGGTTTATTACTAAAATATGGCATCCTAATATTAGTTCCGTCACAGGGGCTATTTGTTTGGATATCCTGAAAGATCAATGGTAAGAGATTTTTTAATTCATTTTCTCTTTTCTTTTATAGGAAAACCAAGACTAAGAATGTTAAATGCGCTAGTTGCCACAAAACTTATTTAGGCAATTTTATAAATTTTCTTAAGTACATAGTTGAATTATATTATGATTTAGATCATGGTATTTATTTAACATTAGATGTTAATTTTACATTTTAAAAAATCTTGGGTTTCATTTGTTATTTTGGTGAAGTTGCTTCTTATCACAGGAAGGTATTTGTAAGAAAAGTAGATATTGAAGCAGTACTAAGAAAGTAAATATTGAAGCAGTACTCTTCACTCAGGTGAAATATAGGCAATAAAATTGTTAGAAGTATTGAGTAGTTAAGGGTCTCCAATTTCAAGGTATACTTTTTTTTTTGGTCTTTTTGAGACAGAGTCTTCCTGTAGCCCCAGCTGTCCTGGAACTCACTATGTAGACTGGGCTGGCCTTGAACTCACAGAGATTCGCCAGCCTCTGCCTCTGGGATTAAAGGCGTGCGCCACCACGCCTGGCTAAGGCATACTTTTTGTAAGTGGTATTTTCTTTTACATAAGGCTTTCTTTCACTTGATTTATCTGATTATTTTATTTATATATTTCTTGTTTTTTTTTTTTTAAATTAGATTTATCTAGCATGTGTATTTGTGAGTGCATAAGCCATGCCATTTTGCATGTATGAAGGTCAGAGGACAACCTTTGGGAGTCCACTCTCTCCTTCCACCATTTGGGACCTAGGGATCAAACATAGGTTATCAGGCTTGGCCTTAAATACCTTCACCCTCTGAACCATCTCACTGGCCCTTGTTTTTTTTTTTAATTAAAAAAAAATTGTTTTGGAAACAAAGTTTTGCTATGGAGCCCAGGTTAGCCTTGAAGTGGAGGTCCTCCTAGTGCTGGGTTACAGTAGTGTACCCATTACTTAGGTAACAGTTGAGTGTTTTAAGAGTTCCTCTACTGTAGCCATCAAATTTAAGTCCTGATTCTTTCATTGTTAAACTGTGTGGTAATAAACACATTTGTTTGATAAAGTTAATGTTTTCTTCATTGGGGTGAGATAGTTAAATAGGTTGGTTTATGTAATTTTCTTAGAATGGAGCCTGGCATAGTCTAACAATGGTAAATCTGATGGTGGTGGTATAGTAATTAAAAAGCAGTTACTCATTTAGCACAGTTACTCATTTAGCACATAATTTTATTAATGAAAAAACTATCCAGAATTATAAAACAAATCTGAGCAAGATAGTTCACATCTGTGATTCCACATATGGACTGCATAGTGAGACTGCACTGTCTCAGAAATGGGGGGAGCGGGATATGAAGAGATGTGGGAAAGCAGGATCATTTGGCAAGAGTGCATAGAGGTCTAATCTTCTGGAAGTTATGTGTTAGTGCCATTATTGTTTTTGTTTTTTTCTGAGATAGGCTCTCACTGTGTAGTGTTGGCTGGCCTGGAATTCACTATGTAGAGCAGGCTAGCCTCGAATTCACAAATGACCCTGCCTCTGCCTTCCAGTTGCTGGGAATACAGCGTGTATACCACCTGGCCTCTCAAGTGCTAGTGTTTTTAAACTATGTTTTAATTCCTTAAGAAAGAAAAAGTGATATTTGAAAATGTTGAAACAAGGCCAGTTGTGGTGGCATACACCTTTAGTAGGGAGGCAGAGGCAGAGGGATCTCTGTGAGTTCTAGGCCAGTCTGGTCTACATAGTGAGTTCCAGGTCATCTGGGGCTACAGAGAGACTCTGTCTCAAAAAGCCCCCCCCCCCAAATTTTTTTGGAAACAAGAATGATGATATTTAGTATATGGGCAGTTTGGTTTATTTAATGTGTATAAACAGACTAGAATTACTATCTTAGTTCTTTTTCCATCTTGATAGCACATCTAAGTAAATCCTGCCTCTCTATTTTGGAATATTCTTTTTTTCCCCCTTATGTATGAGTGTTTTGCCTGCATGCATGTAAGTGTACCATGTGCTTGCAGTGTCTGCAGAGGCCAGAAGAAGCATTGGATCCCCCCGGAACTGGATTTAGGGATAGTTACCCACTTTGTAACTGCTGGAAACAGAGCCCAGGTCTTCTGCAGGAACAGCCAGTGGTCTTAACTGTGGAGCCATCTCTCCAGCCTCTATTTTGGAATATTTTTAACTTTATTTTCTCTTAAATTTGTAGGTTTCAGTATTTTTTTTTTTTTTTTTTTTTTTTTTTTTTTTTTTTAAAAAAAAAAAAAAAAAAGAGGACGATAAATCTTTCACTGTGATATATCAAAATAACTGGCCTTGAACTCACAAAGATCCACCTGCCTCTGCCTCTGCCTCTGCCTCCCAAGTGCTGGGATTAAAGCCATGCGCCACCACGCTCAGCTTATTTTTTGTTTTTTAAAATATTTATTTTTATTTTATGTATATGAGTGTATTGCCTGCATGTGTATAAGTGCACCTGTATTACATAATGCCCAAGGAGGTCAGAAGAAGGTGTCAGATCCCCTGGAACTCAAGTTAAAGTTAAAGTTATTGGCTGCCATGTGGTTGCTGGGAATCGAATCCAGGTCCTCTGCAAGAGCAGCTAGTGCTCTTAACCACTGAGCCATCTCTCCAGCCCCAAGTTTCAGTATTTTTATCTATAATGTTTTCTTCATGGCCCCTTAAGACTTGATTCAACAATAACGATACAAGTGTATACTTGCAGTATTAGAGTCATTTTTTACTTGACTTCCAGGACATTTGTTCAGGTTTTCCTTCCCTGTATCTACTCCTTAACCTGGTCTTCCCATGCCACAGGGATAAGTCTTGGACTGTTTCTGTTCCATTTATATTTCATAGATGAGCTAATCAAATTTCATGTCTTCCCCTTTATAAGGCAACAATTTACACATAACTTATTTATTTACACTGTTTTTATGTGTATGGGTGTATTTCCTGCAAGTAATGTAAGTGTACCCGTGTCTTGCAGTGCCCTCAGAGGTCAGAAGAGGGTGTCAGCTCCCCTTGAACTGGAGTTAGGGATGGTTGTTAGTTCCATGTGGGTGGTGGGAAACCCTGGTATTTTGCAAGAGCAGCCAGTGCTCTTAATTGCTGAGCCATCTCTCCAGTCCTTTATTTATACAGAGGTTAGAGGACAACTTGTAGGAGTCCTTCTTTCTACCATGTGGGTCCTGAGAATCAAAGTCAGTTGTCAGACTTGGTAGTGAACACCTCTAACCTGTTGAGCCATCTTACTGCCTGGGAGCCTGCAGCAGCTTGTCTCCTCCCAGTTTCTGGCTTTGTCTTACTCAACCCATTTTCAGCAGCTATGTTAGGTACTGTTAATAAGCTGAAGATAGTTTTTTATTTGTTTGTTTTTCATTGGTGGTGATTGACTTTTGGGTGGGTCCTGTGAATGTCAGACAAGGGCTATACCATTTGAGCTCTAGCCCCTTGAGTAGACTTGGGAGATAATGACTTACCTGTAACTATCTTCTAATTAGCAAAGATTGACACCTTAAAAATGTTTTAAAAATTTTTATTGTGTGATAGGTATGCACATGATATGTGAGCACAAGTGTCATGGTGTATGTGAAAGTCATAAGACAACTTGCAGGTCCCCAACTATCACATTTTGAAAATTTCATACCCCTGTTTGCCTGTTGGGACTTCTTTAAAAAAAATTACACATATAAAAATCCTGAAAACCAGGACCAGGCGTGGTGGTACATGCCTTTATTCCCAGCACTTAGGAGACAGAGGCAGGTGGATCTCTGTGAGTTCCAGGCCAGCTAGGGAGACCCTGTCTCAAAAAGACCAAAAAAAAAAAAAAAAAAAAAATCCTGAAAACCTCAGTGTAGTAGGAATTTAAGAGGAATTTGTAAAAAGGATGAATAGAATATAAGAATGTTTTCAATTGTAATTTTTCACATTAATGAATTTAGATTTTAAAAATTAATGTAGAACAATAAAGTATAATATGAATACTATGAAAGATAAAGTTTCTGTAGTAGTAGGTCCAAACTTTTGATTATTTCAGCAGTTATTTAAAAGTGTCAGTTTTTATCATTGATTAATGACATTAAACATTTTTCTTTTTTATTGAATATCATACATGTATGCAATAAACTAAGTTTGCTGGGTGTGGTGGTGCATGCCCGTGGTGCACTTAAATACATGCAGGCGATACCCTCATACATATAAAATAATAATAAAAATAAAATATTTACTAAGCCCCGTTTTAAAAAATAACAAAAGAACTTTAAAAACTACATAAGTTAAGCAAGGTGGCGATCCCATCATTTGAGAGGCTGAGGTAGGAAGATCATGAGTTCAGTGCCATCCTAGTTTATACAGTGAGGTGCCATCTCAGTAATAAACAAAACAGGAAGGGTGGGCAAAAGTCCTTGTTGTGTTCAGTCAGCTCAGTGTTAGTATTGGATTTTCTCTTTACACCATAAAAGGAAAAAAAGGGAGCAAGTATTAGGTAGCCAGCTTCAGTGTTTCATGATCCATTTTTGTTATTTTGTCTTTTTTTTTTTGTCCTTTTTGTGTGTTTGGTTTGGTAATGTAAATCAGCTTTTTGCTGATAGATCTACACTAGGTTTTTTTTTTTTTTTTTTTTTTTTCCTTCTTCTTTTTGGCCTTTTTGAGATAGGGTCTCTCTGTAGCCCCAGCTGATGTAGAACTTGCTATATTGCTAGGCTGGACTTGAACTCAGAAGCCTGCCTCTGCTTCCTGAGTGTAGGGGTTAAAGGTGTGTGCAGCCACATCCAGCTCTAGACTAGTTTTAAATGTGAATATGTCTTAAACATTGCCTTAGAAATTTCTCATACATAAAATGAAATTAGTAATACACGCTTCTTAAGGAAAAGATTTCCATGTTCATGGTGGTAATGGAAAAACAAGTGTGAACATTTAAGGGCTATATTTGGTTATAAATATTTAATTCTGTTTATTTAAAAAATTTAAATTTATTCAATTTATTATTTTGGGGATTTTTTGTTTTGGGGATTTTTTGTGTGTGTTTTTGAGAGAGGGTCTCCCTGTAGCTCCAGCTGGCTGGAGCTCACTATGTAGACCAGGCTGGCCTCAGTCTCAAAGAGATCTACCTACCTTTGCCCCTGAAGTGCTGGGATTAAAGGCATGTGCCACCATGCCTAGCTTATTCCCTGTATATTACTTTGTGTGTGTGTGCAGGTGAGTATACAAAGCTGCACGTGAGAAGTTCATAGGACAACATTGTGGAGTTGGTTCTCTCCTTCCAACTTTATGGGGGTTCTAGGGAGTGAACTCAGGTCTTCAGGTCTGCCTGACAATTTCTTTTTATCCACTGAGCCATTTCCTGGGCCTCATCAGAGTCTCCCAGTAGTCCCAGTTGGCCTGGATCTCTCTATGTAGACCAGGCTGGCCTCAAAACTCAAGAGATCTGCCTCTACCTCCCAAGTGCTGGGATTAAAGGCGTGAACCACCACGACTGATTGGAATCTAGTTTTCTTCTTCTTCTTTTTTTTTTTTTTTTGGTCTTTTTTGAGACAGGGTCTTCTGTAGCTCTAGCTGGCCTGGAACTCCCTAAGTAGACCAGGCTGGCCTTGAACTCATAGAGATCTGCCTGCCTCTGCCTCCTGAGTGCTAGGACTAAAGGCGTGTGCCACCATGCCCGCTGGAGCCTAGTTTTCTTAACATCATTTTAAAGAATGAAATGTAGTAGAACTTTTTTCTTAATTATTAAAATACAGAGCTACATCTTATTTAATTTCACTGGTATAGAACAGCCTTTGTCCCTTAACATAAACTGTAAAGGATAGCATTTTTCAGATGTTGTGTTGCATCAAGAGTCACTTGGACAATCTGTTAAAACATGCCCAGCTTCTGATTCAGTGGGTCTGGGATAAGGAGAATCTCATTCCTTACAAGTCCCCAGGTCAGCTGTGCACAAGTATACACTCCTGCAATTTTAGTATGTGGGAGGCTGAGAGAAGAAGATTACAAGTTCTACCCATTCTAAGCTACATAGCCAGACCCTATTGCAAAAAACAAGTTCTGGGGCTGGAGGGGATGGCTCAGCAGTTAAGAACACTGGCTGCTCTTGCAGAGGACCTGAGTTCGATTCCTAGCACCCGTATTGCTGCTAACAACTGTCCATAATTCCAGTTCCAGGGGATCTGATGCCCTCTTCTGAACTTTGTACACATTGCACAACATGGGTGCACTTATATATATGTAGGCACTACACTCAAACACCTAAAATAAAATGAGAAAATATTCAGAAAATACAAGTTCTCTAATCCTTCTGGTACTATTAGTTGGAATAACATTTTAGTGAAGAAACCATCTTAGCACATGTTGTTTCTAACAAGTTAATTCTTTCCATGAAACATCTAGGATTGCCTGTTTATGTATTAGCCATGGTAAAACTGAAAAACTAGTCACTGAGATGAATTTTTTGTGTGTACGGTTTTGTTTTTCCTCTTCAAATTAGGAGCTCAATCAGAACAGACGGTTTGAATAATTTGTGTTGTAAAAAATGAGCATAGTGGGGCTAGGGTGATAGCTCAGTTATAGAGTATTTGCCTTCATAAGGCCTTAGGTTTATTCCCTAATAATACAAAAGTAATAGTAAAAGTACAGTATACTGCTATAGTCTCCAATAAATATCAGCATTCTATTTTTTTACATTTATAAATATTTCAGTATCAGTTGATAAAACACATTTTTAAAAGAAATGCCAAGAATCTTGGTAGGTAGATAGGTAGATACCTATTCTAGGAAAATAATTGCTTCGTAATAACAAAGGTTCTTGTAAGTATATTTGGAAATGTAAGTTGTGATTTTTTTTTTTTTTTGGTCTTTTTGAAACAGGGTCTCTCTGTAGCCCCAGCTGGCCTGGAACTCACTATGTAGACCAGGCTGGCCTGGAACTCACAGAGATCTGCTTGCCTCTGCCTCCCAAGTGCTGGGATTAAAGGCCTAAGTTATATATATTTTTAAAAGGTTCATTTTAAATTATGTGTATGTGTGTGTAATCTGTGTACTTGACATGTGGGTGCCCAGTTGAGACCAGAAAGCATCAGGTCCCCTGGAGCTGCAGGTACAGATGGCTGCTCCTACCTTGGTGCTGGGAACCAAATTTGGATCCTATGTGGGAGCAGCAAGTGCTTTTAACCACTAAACCTTCTTTCTAGCTCCAAGTGATGTATGTTAAATAAAAATTAGTCCTATTTTGTAATTTAGGGGCTGATTTCACATATTTTTAAAATGGAAGATATTTGATAGTATCTCATTTGTCTTTAGTGTGCCATTAAAAGAGAGTTCCGGGCCATAGTATCTCATTTGTCTTTAGTGTGCCATTAAAAGAGAGTTCCGGGCAGAGCTTGGTGGCACACACCTTTAATTCCAGCACTCGGGAGGCAGAGGCAGGTGGATCTCTGTGCGTTCAAGGCCAGCCTGGTCTATATAGTGTGTTCCAGGACAGCTGGGGCTACAGGAAGACCCTGTCTTAAAAAGACCAAAAAAAAAAAAAGAGAGTTCCACAGGTTGTTAGTGTTAATAGTTTATCAGTTTATCTTATGGCATCATAAGAATAAAAATTAAGTTGGTAGATAAAACTTATAAGAAAGGTAATAGTGACAAGAAAGGTCAGTTCAGGATGAGATTATTTGAATTGTCACAGAAATAGATTCATCTGTAAAGAACAAAAAATTGGCAAAAATGCACGCATATTTCTGTAACTTCTGTTTCATTATTCAGAGTCGTCTTAAGTGGACTATTTTCATATTTTGACATTTAGGGCAGCAGCAATGACTCTGCGCACGGTATTATTGTCATTGCAAGCACTGTTGGCAGCTGCAGAACCAGATGACCCACAAGATGCAGTAGTAGCAAATCAGGTAAGAAGACTGTTTTTGGAAAACTTTCTAATTACCTGTGTGTAGGGTCTGTTAAATATTTGTGATATTATCGTATGAGCATTCTGTATTGGGACTACATTTGGAAATGATTTCTTTTTGTAGTAATTTTGTCAGTATAAAAATGAGTGAGTGAATGCAGGTACTCACAGAGGCCAGAGGCAGTTGATCTCCCTGGCAGGGGTGAGCCATCTGATGTGGGTGCTGGGAACCAAACTCAGGTCCTCTGCAAGACATCAAGTGCTTTTAACTGCTGAACCATCTGTCCAGCCCCCCAAAATTAAAATTTTATGAAACCTCGTGTTCACTAGCTACATGACAGATCTATTTTCTTAATTTGTGAAAGTTTCGAAATGCATAGTCAAAAGAATTACAGTGATCACCCATATTTCTACCATCTAGATTCTCTAACATTTTTTTCACAGGTCATGCTTATATTTATGTACCCTTTCATATAACCTTGAGTACTTCCTGGTGATCATTTTAATAACTTACTACCAAGAGCTGAGCATTACCAGTCATTTTTCTAATTTCTTGAATAGAGTATCTTTTTAAACCTCTTGGGATAGTCGTGTTACATCCAGACTGGCAGGGTTGGGTAATGTTTTGTTGGAACACAGTTATATTCACTTGTTTATTTTGCTTTCTAGTCACAGTGGCAGCATTGAACAGAGACTGGCTTGAAAGTCTTAAATTACTAATACCTATCTGTTTAAGACAGTCTACCAGCCTCTACTTTATGCTAGTATGATTTACTGAATGTTTTTGTTGTTCCTGAACCAGTATCTTTTCTTCTCTTAATCTGTTTTCTTTTTTAATTTTATTATTTTTATTTTATGTGTATGAATGCGTGTATGTGAGTGCACCTGTGTCATGCAATGCCACAGAGGTCAGAAGAGGGCTTCATCTTTCCCTGGAACTGGAGTTAAGGGATGGTTCGTAGCCACCATGTGGGTGCTGGGAATCGAACCTGGGTCCTCTGCAAGAGCAATCGGTACTCTTAACCTCTGAGCCATCTCTCCAGCCCCTCATCTCTTAATTTGTGAACTACTTCCCTCTTCTTTTTCTACGCTTAGAATTGATTCTTGATTTCCTACAATATTTCTTTTTTCTCCTTTAAAGTAAGCTTCTTGGTTCTACTGTGTTTCTCTTTACTTTCCATTATATACGCTCACTTGGATGATTACAGTACCTACACTCTCATGGATAGCTGCTCATGTTTGATGTCTTTCCTGAGCCCAAGAACCCATGTGAAACTGCATAGCTCTGTATGGATGTGCCTTGGCTACTCTGGCACAGCATCATTAAAACTGAAGGCAGAATCCAAAACCTTGTAAAACTTCTGTTCTATGATCATTATCAAGTTCATGAAATAAGTCACAGCATCTCATGTCTTTCTCTGTCTCTCTCTTCTCTTTCTTCTCTTTCTCTCGCATTCTCTTTTTGAAACTTTTTTCTTTTTTTTTTTTTTTTTTTTTTTTTCCCCTGAGACTGGGTTTCACTATGTAGCCCTGGCTGTCGTGGAGCTTACTATGTAGACCAGGCTGGCCTTGATCTCATAGAGCTCCACCTCCCTCTGCCTCCCAAGTGCTGTGATTAAAGGCCAGTCTTTTTTTTTTTTTTTTTTTTTTTGGTCTTTTTTTTGAAGCAGGGTCTCCCTGTAGCCCCAGCTGTCTTGGAACTCACTATGTAGACCAGGCTGGCCTTGAACTCACAGAGATCTGCCTGCCTCTGCCTCCCAAGTGCTGGGACACAGGTGTGTGCCACCACGCCCGGCTCTTAAAGGCCAGTCATTTTCAAAAAACAAATTCATCCTTAGTTCTATTACTAGACTTAGAGTTCTTGGAATTGTGACTTTTTATATTTTGTGCATGTTAATATATTTAGTAGCAGAATACAGACTTGAAAAGTCTAGCTTTGATTTCTCAAAAGATTGAGATTTAAATAAAACTTTACCACCTAGAATAGTTAAAAAATAATTTTGTTATGAATTAATGACTAAACCATTAGCTATTTCATATCACTCATATATAATAGTAGCATATCCGTCTTTAAAACATTAAAGGTAGTTATAGTACTTTGATTAGAGCCAGGTTTGATGGCACACACCTGTAATCCCAGCACGCAGGTGGATCTCTGGGTTCCAGGCCAGCCAGGGCTACATAGTGTTAACCTTTTCTTTCAAAAGATGGGGAGCAGTGGCGCATGCCTCTAATCCCAGCACTCAGGAGGCAGGGGCAGGTGGATCTCTTCAAGGCCAGCCTGGTCTACATAGTTCCAGGCCAACTGGGGCTATAAGGAGAGCTGTCTCAAAAAGACCAAAAATAAATAAATAGAAAAGAGGGAGCAAGGGAGGGAGAGAAAGTAGAAAGGAGGGAAGAATAGAAGGAAACAATGCACTGGGAAAGAGTAAGGGAGGCAGAGAAAACAGTATTCAGTCTTCCTCTGTCTTAGGGCTGGAGAGATGGCTCAGTGGTTAAGAGAGCTTGCTGCTCTTGCAGAGAGGACTGGAATTCAGATTCCTGCACCTACATTGGGTGGCTCACACCTGCTTGTAGCTCCATCTCTAGGGGATCCCAAGCTCTCTTCCGGCCTTTGTGGGTAGCGTGCGTGTGTGTGTGTGTGTGTGTGTGTGTGTGTGTGTGTGTGTGTGTGTGTGTATAAACAGACACACAAAAAGAATAAAACTTTAAAGAATCCTTAAAAAATGTAACTTTAATATCCGGGAGTGGTGGCACACACCTTTAGTCCCAGCACTTGGGAGGCAGAGGCAGGCAGATCTCTGTGAATTCAAGGCCAGCTGGAGCCACAGGGAGACCCTGTCTCAAAAAGACAAAAAATAAAATTAAAAAAAAATAAAAAATAACTTTAATAATAAATATTAAAATGAATTGAAGTTGTTAATTTATACTTTATTAATTGCTGGTGGTTCCAGAGTGTTTACAAATGATTTTTCCTTACCTTCTTCCAATGCATATGGCAGCTTTTACTATCTATAAGTACTCTCCTAGGACTGGAGACATGATGATTCAACAGCTACAATCACTAGTTGCTCTTACAGAAGACCCAGGTTCTATTCCAAGCACATGACAGCTTACAACTACCTATAACTCCAGTTCCAGAGGATCTTTGCACTCTTCTGGCTTCTACAGGCATTGCGTACATGGGTGTACTTGGATACATGCCAGCAAAACAGTTATACTCATAGAATGAAAATAAGTAAATCACAGCTGGGTGTGGTGGCGCCTGCCTTTAATCCCAGCACTTGGGAGGCAGAGGCAGGGGAATCTCTGTGAGTTTGAGGCCAGCCTGGTCTACATAGAGAGTTCCAGGCCGGCTGGAGCTACAGGGAGACCCTGTCTCAAAAAGAACCCCCCACCCCCCAAAAGGAAAATAAGTCACAAAGAAAATTGAAATATTTTATGAGCTTTTTATTTATTTATTTTTATTATTTATTTTTTTGTCTTTTTGAGACAAGGTCTCCCTCCCTGTTGCCCCAGCTGTCCTGGAACTCACTATATAGACCAGGCTGGCCTCAAACTCAGAGATCCACCTGCCTCCCGGGTGCTGGGATTAAAGGCATGCACCACCACGCTTGGTTTTTATGAGCTTTTTAGTCATCCCAAGTGTGACACGAATTAGGATTTCTGAATGTAGGGTTTATTTCAATCACTATGCACTAATACAGCTTTAGGAAAATCAAATTTTATTCTAGCCCTAGTTTAAGCTTTGGCTTGTAACAAACAATTAATGTTTATTAGCTAATCTTGGTTACATTTAATTAGCTAATGTTTATGTATTTTTTACATGCTACTGGTTTTAATTGTGTGATGTTTCCTGTTGTGTGATAATTGGAATATCTCAGTAATGCTTCATTTAATAGTAGGTGTTTATTTAGCAATTAAAGTAGACTACCTTTGCCTTTTTCTCTTATCTCTACAAAGCTTCATTTTAAAGTCCTTTCATGAGTGACATATTATCTGTAGTATAAAGTGAGTCACAATTTTATTTTTTGGCATGTGAGGTGCTGGGGATTGAACTCATGGCCTTTGGCTTAATAAGTACATACTACCATTGAACTACAGCTTCAGCCCAAAAGAGTCACATCTTAAATATAAATTGATTTTCTTTGGAAAAAGCAGTCTTAAGCAATTAAGAGTTGAGCTACTATATTAAATATTGCTGTATTGTCATGTTATTTAATTTTTTCCTCCATGTAGTACAAACAAAATCCTGAAATGTTCAAACAAACAGCTCGACTTTGGGCACACGTGTATGCTGGAGCACCAGTTTCTAGTCCAGAGTACACCAAAAAAATAGAAAACCTATGTGCTATGGGCTTTGATAGGGTAAGTACGCAAGGGAATGCTGATTCCGACTTCACTGATTTTTAATTGCTGCTGCCAAACCTTGGGACAAGTGGGCTGGCAAGTTAAAAAGTCTACTTTTGGTAAACAAGTGTTTTGTTATTAAAATCAATGGTTATTGTTTCTATTATTGTTTATTCCAGTCATTGGTTTTTGAAGCATTTCATGTACTTCAGAATGATTTCTGTCTAAAGACAGTGATTCAGTGTTTTAAGAACATTACCTGGAGATTTGATTTTTTTTTTTTTTTTTTTTTTTTTTTTTGATAGGAATGCAGTAATAGTGGCCTTGTCTTCAAAATCATGGGATGTAGAGACTGCGACAGAACTGCTTCTGAGTGACTGAGGCATAGGGAGCTGCTACCTGCGCTTGCCTCTTCCCGAGGAGCACCAACATCTTATTTTTAGGATTCTACATAAATTTCTTTTAAACTGGCATTCTTGCCTAATGATGTTATCTTGGCACCATTGGAGACTGAAAAAAAAATCCCTGCTCTGTAAATAAAGCTAATTAAACATCTGTGTAAATTTAAAGGGGAAATACTTTAATTTTTTTCTTAATAGTGTAAAAATTATTTGAGCTAAGCTAAAACCATGGACAAAACATGCTACTTTAGTGTTTAGCAGTGTAACAAGACTAGTGAGTTTGCTTCAGGGTTTTGTTGAATAATTAAGATAATATTTGAGTGTGTCAGGGCCGTTCAAATCGTTGGTGTTGCATCACAGCTACCCTAACTGTTCTAAAATGGATCCTCTGTGCCTGTGAATTTACTTGCATGCTTGTACTTGACTTCTTAGGATGGGTAGCTGAAAAGACCACCATTTTAAGCATTAGACAATTTTCAGATAATGAGATGGTGACCTATTCAGAGCCTTTTTGTTCCTGTGGGTTCCTGGACAGACAGGGACACTCATTTTTTCCTGGTTACCATACACAGCTCATATTCTAAAGATACATTTCTCTGTGTTTGGTGGGGAAATGTGCTAAGGGATGGTGTCCCTTGCTCCATTTTTAGGTCGTAGGTTTGGAACGTTTTGTCGAAGTTCTTCACTCTTAAAAGGTTTCCTACATAAATAATAATGTAAATGGGGCTGCCAATTTTATTTCTCTTGCAAAAAGAGTAAATACTTGATGTTGCAGTATTCCCAGATTTAATAAAAGGACCCTACTTAGTTTTTCAGTGAAATTGACATTGATCTTTCAATTGATAAAATTTTTCTCTGAGAACTTGAAGGATGCAGTTAACTGTTTCCAGTAGTGTTTAGCCTAATGTGGGCTTTCAGGTTTGCTTTTATCAGATTCTTTAAAGCCACTTTTCTTCATTTGCACTTCCCCAAACGGACACCTGAACGCTGTGCTAGTTCTTCACTGTACATACTCAGATGTACATAGGGTAGGAGTGTTAGAATCTAGCTTTCTTTATGATGTTTCTGATAATATGAGAATTGAAACTCTACCTTCTCTTGTACATAGTCAGACTTCCTATTCATATCAATGTCACATTTCATCCTAAGTTCAAAAGTTTGAAAATTATTAGTTTTGCAAACACTTAATTTGACCATCTTAGTAAGGTTGAAATGAATTTATGTAGGCAGTTTGATGCATAGAGGTAACAATTTTTACATTTTCAGGACCAATGGGAAAACAACAGACATAATAGGATCAGACAGAATTAAAGTAAGGCTGTGTATTGCAAGTCATATTATAAAAGGTTTGCGTTCTTCAGGTGTTATTTATCTTACAGTCATTAATGTGTTTGGAGAATACTTTTTGAACCTATCAAGTCAGCATAACTTCATTTGACTTTTCAATAATCTTGATACTACAAGCAATAAAAGAGCCATTATTAAATATATTCTAATGTTAAAGATGTGAAGGTTCTTCCAACAACTTGTGAGATTTTGCTGATTAGTAGTAAACTCTTAGAGTTGATATTCCGGCATACTTACACAAGCTGCTGTGTTTTTTTTCCATGTTTGCTTCTGCATACATTTCTTTATACAGTCACATCCTTTCCTTGCTATAGCTTATTTTTAAAAATGCCAAAGGAAACAAATTTCTCTAATTTATTTTAAATAGCTAAAATCTTATACTTTATGTTCTGATATAAGGTCAGTTGCGTGAAATTATAGACAGTTTTGCTCCGTTGGTTAGAATAATTTTTAAGTGGAGGGTGGCTTGGTAATACTAATATTTGGCTATTTAAAGTATCAAACACATTTATCAAGTTTACTATTTGCCTGTATTGTCAGGGTATATTTAATTGTGGTTGAGAGAGGTGAGAAATAACTCAGATTACAAAAGTCAAGCATTACGTACTTTGCTCTTGGAGGCAGCTATATCATGCTTTGATTGTTATGCATATTGGCCTCATACTGGCCCCATCCTGTCTGCCTTGTCAGACTTCACTATCCCCGGCACCCAGGAAATTGGAAAGGATGATACTCCATTTGACAGGTCCTACATACTGATACCATTATTTTCAGCTTTGCGTGATGGAACATGCCTTCTAATCCCAGCGCTTGGGTTGCAGAAGAGCCATCAGTTCCAAGCTGCCTGGGTGACTGAAGCAAGAACCTGATTTAAAAGATTTCTTAATTGTCAGGCTGGAGAGTTGGCTCAGCGGTTAAGAGCACTGACTGCCCTTGTAGAGGACCCAGGTTCGATTCCCAGCACCCACATGGTGGCTAAGAACCGTCCTTAACTCCAGTTCCAGGGGAATCTGAAGCCCTCTTCTGACCTCTGCGGCATTGCACAACATGGGGGCACTCACATACGTGCAGGCAATACACTCATACACATAAAATAAAAATAATAAAAGATTAACCTTTCCTGATAGATTTTTCTCACTGTCCTTGGTGTTTTTTTTTTTTTTTTTTTTTTTTTTTTTTTAAAAAAAAAAAAAAAATTACTTCACCCAATAAGAAAATTTAGACAATTGCTTTTTACTTTGGCATTGAGTCTGTTTGGGAAAAGGACACTAATAGTTCAGGCCTAGTTTAAAAGTACTCTGGTGGAAATTATTTTTATAATTCTCAGTGTTTGAGAATTTGTCTTTTTTT